GATAAAAGAGACAAATATAAAGTCAGTGTTAGCAAAACGCTAACTAACTAGCTAGCTGTGAGTCGGCTGGACACAAAAGTTTAGAATCCGCTAATCGTAACGTTTCCACTGACTAATGTCCTTTTAAATTCGATCTGATCGATCGATCTGAGGTCCAATCGGGTTTAAAATGTACTTGTTTACTTTTATTGCTGTTTGTTGTTCGTCTCTGGCTATAACCGAGCCGGCTGGAGCCCGTTTTAAAAGCAGGTAGAACCAGCTACATGGTTCTACCTGGTTCTACATGGTTCTACCTGGTTCTACATGGTTCTACCTGGTTCTACCTGGTTCTACATGGTTCTACCTGGTTCTACCTGGTTCCATCCGGTTCTACCTGGTTCTACCTGGTTCCATCCGGTTCTACCTGGTTCGGTCCGGTTCGGTCCGGTTCTACCTGGTTTGGTCCAGTTGGAACTGGTTCTGTTGCTGTGTGTCTGTCAGTATTTTGCCTTACTACACTTTATGAATTTTATTGATCTTTTGCCAAATCAATGTTTCTGTTTATTTATCACCTTTAATCCAAAGTGTTATTATTGATTCTGTTTGTTACTTCCTGGTCCGATCTCAGAGCCTTTCTGTCATCACACCGTCACAGTGTGATTATTGGCTGCTGTTACCATGGAGACCATCAGGAGTTACAGTCACGCTGCGTAAGAACCAATCAGAGGATGGCTAGACAGTGATGTCATTTTGCTGTCTTTTTTTTTAAATCTCCTGACTCGTTTCTATAGTAACCCCCAGGTTTCTGGAGCAGGGCGTTACCGCGGTAACCGCAGAGCTGCTGGTTCCACGTAACCATAGCAACTACCGGCCCCTAGTTACCGTGACAACACCGTTCACCATCCTCTCTTTCTCCGTCTCCGGGTGTAACAGCAGCATGGTTGTGTATCCTTCTTCCTGTTGTGGTATCTTGTTATTATTGATTATTAAGTATTGATCGATTGCAGGTTATTGGTTAGTGGCCGGCCACTGCCTTCCATCCTGTCTCCGTTTTCCATCATGCACTTGTGTAAGAAAATACAACGAGAAATGTTTATGAGGTTATAAATGAAATAAAGATATAAAAACTGATCACGACTGTGTGGAAGTAAATATTAATACTGCTATTAATACTGCTATTAATACTGCTAATACTGCT